GGAACAATTAGATGCCTTGCGGGGAAATGAAAACAATCCAGGGGAACGCAAAAACTCAGCTCACGGCTCTATGCTAGATAACCTGTTGCGTCCGACCTTGACCTCCTCATTGCCGTTCTCCGACCCAGATAGTGATGTCGATGTGACAAAAAGTTTGGATGGTCCACGTGGCGTTAATCCACTTTCTCAATCTTTGTCTGACGCTGATATGCTTCGAGTTTCAAATATAAAGCCCAATGCCTCATATTCCAGTATGCGGAGCTCAGACGTGTTTGAGATGGCTCGTCTGCAAGAGTCGCATTTGCGCAAACACAGTGGCAGTCGAAACAAGTTGCATGGATCCAGTGGTTCACTGACTAGCTCACTTCTGGACGTTCGTGCGAGTGCAGACCAAGCGCTTCGCAGCGGTGGTTCAGGAAATCAATCACATGACGGCAGTATAAGAAATCTTTCAGATGTTGATTTGAGCAAAAGTCACGATGGTGTTGTGGTATTTCGTGACACATCCCGGGGCCCACCCGAACGACAGCTCACTGTTCGAGCCAAGGAACCCATAGATTCCTTAGAAGATGAGGATAATCGACGCACGCTAATCATACATGATAACGCTGAGCTCGGTGATAACCTGACAGAATCGGAAAACCACCTTCCTCCAGACTCGTTGCCCAACCAAGCCCGCGGGAATGTAGTTGACCATGAGTTGTCAGAACCTCCAACGCCTGTAATAAATGACCCACCAAAGACAAGCGGGATTCGTACTGCCGTGAATAATGAAGTTCCAGGGCCTAACGTATTTTTTCCGCATTCCCCTGGCAATGAGGACAGGGATTCGGTTTCCAGTGTGCCAGATCACAAGAATCCTGTGACTCGACTGGACTCATTTGAATTACTTGAGGCTCGTATGTCTGCAGAAACATTTTCTCCCGGAGCTTTAAAGAGCGCTGGACCTCGAACTCCGTCACATCAGATGGGAGCTGAGAATCTCCCTGAAACTACACATTCTAACATGAGTGGTCCACCACTAACAGCAAAACTTCCTATTCCTGGCCAACCTCCTCGAAGTACTTCACCCACTCCCAGCCATAGCCAACGTCCATCTTATCCCCGACCACCGTCTGGCCCACGTATGCCTTCTGCTTCGAATGGATCTGGTCCTGCTACCAGTGCTCGTTCATCGACCCGCTTACCCGTGCAATCTAGGCTTCCAACTGCAAGTGCATCGTCTGCAAACAGCAGAGTGGGACCTCGACCACCGGTACAGCCTCAACAAATAGCTCAAAGGGGTCAGCTGTCGCGCCCTGGTTCAAGACCATCTTCCGCCAGCTCTTCTTTATCCCGACCGCGATCGAGAGAACCGATGACTCAAATACAATCAAACACCACCAATACTGGTCGAATTCCGGTCCGTGCTATGCCTCCCGTGTCGAAGTTGGCTGGGGACCATCAGTCACGTCCGACCACATCGCAGCTTCAGGTCACGCGTTCTGACACTTCCCCTGTTCGTTCAACCAGAATGAATAATAAACGTCTAGGCCAACGTCCTGTCGCTCCCGGTTCTCGACGAACATGATTTGGCTTAAAAATCAATATCCAACTGTGATATATCTAACGATTGCCAATTATTTGCGTTTTGCACGTCTTTCAGCTGACTGGTGTGCCCTAACTGTGGCTCAAGATTTTCGTCCTGGTTTGCCTTTTCATTGCAGTCCCCTTTTCCGATCCATATCCATTCGCTATCTACCACACAAAGTGAACAGAATTTTTTCTATGGAACCCAGAGTCCATGCATCGTTTTTTCGCCCACTTAAACGCGTCTTTACGCCTTCAGTGATCTTCACTCGTCCGTCCCCTTTTTCTATTAACATTTTCGCAGTTCGCATAAGCCCTTTATTACGTATTTTGCATTCCGAAACACTGCCTTCTTAGAACACAAGTTTTCCTTGATCGCGCTCAGATTCTATGGATTTGCTCAATGCATGCAAGTTCGTTTAATTGCTCAAGACTTATAATCGTTTTTTAACTATATCTTTATAATAACCCAATTGAAGTATTTGGTATATCCGTTGTATTTTTTCATTAGTTAAAACGTTTTATTACCGTTTTCACTCCCGTATTACTGAAAAGCAGCGAAGAACGGTTTCATTTCTATTACGGATATCTAGCGGTGCATATTCATCTAACACGCCATCGTTCAAATGTAGGTATAAGCCATACATAGTTTTACAAGTCCATCCGAACGGGTTACAGTATCTGGCTTCTCGCGAACACCACTTACTGTAATTAATTCGTCAACGATTCGGTAAAATTTCTCAGATATCTTTGGAGAATTTTACTTTTCCCGATTTGTCTAAACATCATTGAGGTCAGATGCAATATTTCTCCGTCAGAAATTTGACTGGAGAAACCAAGAATGTTCATGTTTACATCGTGTTAGTGATGATTTCGTGAGATTCCCATGTCTGCCATATCCGATGTGGTAGTTTATGTGAGCAGACAAAGAACGAATAAAGGACTATTAAATGGCATGCATTGACAGCCACCAGACAGAATACTAATTCATTGCGTCATTGGCTATCGAGAAAGAAGCCAAACTGTTTGATCGTTCTTACTATTTGCACAGTGAGGTAAACCGATTGCAGGTGCCTTGTGCCTTGAACAACCTAAATGACTTGACTGTTTATAAAACTTTGAACACGTTTCAAGGGTCCACACAATAAACATCTGTCGGAACTTGATAAAGGACTCGGCAGGTTTGCTCGATAGTAGTCACAAGTGAAAGTGATAGCAGCTCGCTCGTGGCATCTAACTGGTGTTCGAGACCTTTGTGAATTCTCTGAGCTATCGTAGATTAGGTTTGAAGTAGTAATCTTCCGAGAGAAAAATCCATTTAAGCCCTCCAGGCTACTCTGTCATATGTACAGGAGGACATTTGGGTTGTTTTTGGTTATCATTTCATACCCGGTTGTTCGTTGGAATTCTGCACACAGATGGGATCATGAAATGAAACACATACAGTACAGTAACTTATCACATCCACCTTACGTTTTTGAAGGGACCGTGCGCCCTGTAAATCACTTATGTGGTTTACCATTCCAGGTCCCCTGGTTTAGGTTGTTGGTTAGTATAAGTGAGCAGTAGACCATAGTAACCATTCCACAGTGCATGACAATAATATGCAATAATGGGGGCTAGTGGTTTGTGCTTTTTCAGTAATATAGTTAGAGTGCAAAACCGGTAAGTGTTTTGGGCATTCAGAATATTTGAGTCTTTAGAATCATGAACCAATTAATAGAAACGCTTAAACGGACCCCTTCGAAGGTGTTGTAATAAATAGAATAAGGTTGAAAACTGCATTAAAAAACTGTAGTGGACTATTGGGAATGTTCCTACGTTCATGTAGTCGTTCGAGGATAGCGTTTTCGCTCCACATTACGAAAGAGGATATAAAATCTATGGTATGAAACGTTTGAAGGAAACAGATGATTTCGATGGTTTTCTAATCGGTGTAATAACTGGTCTCCAATAGCCGGGAGTAGTGAAAGTGCGAAGTTATCCGTTCATAATGGAGGTGAATGCCCCGGTTAGGGAAGTGACATCAAATTTTAAAGGCATCGCAGGCAAACTATCGGAGTTTGTAACGGAAGAAAAGAAGTTTATGTGCATCAGAATTTGAGAAAACTTGTATATAAAGCTTGTAGGGGCGCGCTGTGTTTGAATTGTTTATCTCGTAGCTACCTACCCTTCATGGTTTCTGGCCATTGTATTATTATTATTTTCATTATCTTACAGCAAAATACAGAGAAGCGAACTTCACTGATTGCTGCCACACTCGCAATGCATTTGCACTGGGATTTGATGGACGGGTACTGTTAGGGTGTCCAGCCACTTAGCAGGAGAACGATTAGGGTTCTCAACTAAAGCCTTTAGTTCTGACAAGAACCCAGCCGCAAGGCAGCGGATGAGGCCAAATGGAGGCCCGTTTACTTAGATCAATTACTCCTCCACCATTTCTTACCGACAAACACCAATTCTAGTTGAAAACCCAACCTGGAGGACCAGGAGACTGTACTTCGTCTCGGCCTCTATCCTTCGATCTTCCAGGCCTGATTAAATCTTCGGCTTGACAAAAGCCATTCTGTGAAGCTCGTTAGGTCAGAGAGTGCACATGCCATCACACCACGTCAAGGTGCAGTCTCGTTGTGATGGTCGTGGTATTAAATTGCTCAGTGAGCAGCTCTAGGGCACTCACCGTTAATCAAGGTTCACTTCTAACGGGTTAAAAATTCGCTGCCATTTCCTATTTTTGATCGCAGCCAAACAACTAATGGGAAACTAACGAATTATTGGATCAGCATTCCATTCCACTACCTATCATCCCTAAACCAGCTCTGATTGGGTTAGTTTTTCCGTGCATTTTGAAACCGTCGCTATGTAGTGGGTGAATACAGTAGCGATACGTAACACTGGTTGACTGTGACCACCCACTGCTTCACAATTCTCGGCATATGACTTGCTGACTGATTGTTATGTCACGCCTTTTCTCTACTCAGTAACCGAATTCCTACAGAGGCTAAAGACCGCGATTGGAGGATGAAGCACTATGAGCTATGACAACGACTTGAGACTGCAAAACCATAAACGAAGGTTAAACAACAGTTAAAAGTATTATAGATCTATTCACAATAGAAAACACCCTTTGCGGATGATAGCCGGTGTTGCTGTGGAGAACTCGACGCCATTGCATAATTGGAGTACTTGAAAGTGGATTCCAGAAGGGAGATTCATACATGTACAGTGGGAACAGACGTGATGTTAGACTAGTGTTTTTGATAAGTTGACG